GTTAACATACAGGGTTGTAGTTCGGGGAACTAACTGAAGATCCCAGAGTCCTTTAGTGGGCTCCCCAGTTAACTGGCCACAGGTGTGCTGAATTGAAGAGTCGTTAGCCGGACACACCTGCGACTGTGTCCCTGATTTAGGCCTCCTGGCTCTCTGCCCCACAACAGGTGCATCCTTATTAGTCACCAGTCATTGTTGTGTTGAAGTTCACGGGTGCAAAACATGCTGAAACATTATTGAAAGGGTCCACCGGGGTGTTGAAGTTTGTTGAGCTTCTACTTTCCTTATTCGACAGTATCCTTTCCTTATTTGACAATATCACAGAAAATTGAAGCTTCAATGCGTTTTCAAGGAATCTGTGATTCTTTACAACCGGACATGTCTAACAAACTTTCACATTTTACAGACACTACATAGAACACAATGGAAATCTAGCTAAATCTGTAAGTCTGCATCGGTAAATTTGTTCAGACATGACTAATAGCTCATGTGTTTGTCACTTCTAAAGCCTGCATGTACTCATTTTTACATGAACTGAATGATATTCTCAGTGTTAACAAAAGAGCAGCAATAAGTGCTGGAGGGACTTCACTGGATTTGTGACTTGCAGCACTCCGGAGCAGCCAGGCAATAAACCAGCCTTGGAAATGGATTGCGAACCCCTTAAAATATCAACAGCAGTTTCCATTAATCTTTTCTGGTGGTTGGTTCAGTTTACTGTCTTGTCATCTTTCCTTAGGAGCTTTTCTGAGATGAGCTCCGCTCTCACCACTCTCTGCCAAAAGCAAAATGCAACTTCAGTGATGACCTCGCGCAGAAAGCCGTGTATTTATTTTATAAAATATAAGTACAAAATAAAACAACTATCAGATTACACACAGAACTGGTTCCTTCTCTTATAGTGAATTTATAAGAGTGTTTCAGGCATGAATCTAAATACAGTTACAGTGGCGATCTGACCAGTGCTCAGAGCTGTTGTAAATGTATTTTTGTTTACCTCTCACAGTCCAAAAGTTAATTAAAGACTTTGGAGATTTTATATTTCCTCCCTTGTTGAAAAACCAAATAAACAGTTAATTTCTATGAAAATAGTAAGAAAGCAGTCAAGAATGAGATTATTTACTCTATAGAGAAACTATAGTAGTGTCAAGGCTAGACCAAAGTTTTATTCTAAAAAATGTAACAAAATGCACGGCAATGCCAGGTAAAAGATCCAAAGAAGGTCAAGATCCAAAGAAATGCAACAAAAACACAAGGACAGAGAAATAACCTGAAAAGAGGGCTGGGAGTGTGGAGGAAAACAAACAGGAAGACAGGTGAGTGGATGAAAGCAGGGGGGTGCAGGCGAGGAAACGGGAATAAAAGTGACGGGAGTTGAGTTAATGAGGAGATCTGAAGGAGACCCGGGATCATGAGGGAGGAGGAAATGAAGACGGGCATCAGAATAAAACACAGGAAAACAGAACATGCAGAGGAACTGAGAGAACTCTGCTGTGGACTTTTTAAAATAAGAGTCTTAGTCCGTCGGAGGAATTTATTAAAAGGAGAAATCAAACTTAGTGAAGTATGAGCGACCCAGCACGACCACATGTGAATTGAACTACATACCAAACTGCTCTGCCTGTACAGATATTTGCATCAGTAATTATTGGCCCCAGAATCTAGTCAGTAAGGCCTTATCTTCCTTTAAGATAAGTTATCCTGTAATCACTGAATAGTAAGCACCTCAAGGGGACGTGTGTCTGAACAATTTGCTCCTGTATCTGTAGCTGTATCTATGTAGGACAGTAAGTGCTGTGTAAGTGTAATATTTAAACAGTTACATCTTTGACTGGTATTTTTCCACTACAATTCTAGATAAACTAAGAACAGAAACTCAAAGAAACAGTGTAAAACACAAATAATATAAGAATCCAAGATCAGCGAAAAAACTCATACAGGTAACAAAAAACCAAAAGCAAAGTTCACAAAACCACAGACTTCAGACAGGTAAAGGCCGTGGCCAGGGGAGAAATGTAAAATTTTGTGTCAAAAAGAAGCCATGACAGACAGGAAAGGAGGTTGATCTCTGGGGGATATCTCTCTTCTGGCCTCTGTCAGAGCTGAAAACAACAGGAAAAGACCAAAACAGTGAATGAAAAGGCATAAAGGAAGAAAAAAAAGGAAAGGAAGAAAAAAAAAGGTTCCTGGCAGGGGTGCACAATATACTGTATTACAGCTGTATTTAATAAAAAGCACAGCAGCGTTGATGTGAGTTTGGGGAATTTCTCCAAACATCCTGCGGAGCTACAAGGCCAGTGAGCTCCCTGAGATGCTCTGATTGAGGGTTTCCTGTTTTAAGTATTTAATGAGGAACTGGGGAGATATTTAATTATCCAGGCTCCAGACTTGGAGGGTTTCCCGACAGTAAAACTGAAAGCAGATTTACATTTCTCTTTCCATTTTTGGCTGTTATTCCCAAATGCACCTGCTACTGCAAGGTGGATGTCTATTTCTAAGCAGGTAAATTGCTTCTGGGGAGGAAGAATTTCAAAGTTAGTTGACAGACTTGTGATACCTGACAAATTACAGAAAAATCAAGTTGTTATGAGTGACATGAATATGCTCTGTTTGTGGTTACCTAATGAGCTGTTACCCACAGAGAACACATAGTGGATTGGGAATAAGTAAGCAAGGGTGTATGAGCACATCTATTTTTTCTCTAAGAGCTCATCTTTTTTAAAAACTTTGTCTAAATGCACTTTAAAAAAAGAGAGCATCCTCCATCAAATCATAATAAATAACGATGGTGATCCAGTTCCTTATCAGTGCTCTTCAGGTTTTCTTTTCATGAACTTTATTGTTTCTGGTTCACATTTGTTCTCAGGTATTCCCGTGGATATGTGAGAATACCAAAACTAAATAGCACACGCTGCTTGGGGTACTCGGAGTAAACCGGGCGCAACTTATATGTTTGAGCTGTTGATTGGTTTACCATCTGATTCCCAGACAGCAGAGAAAGCTTAGTCATTCACTTACATAGGGAGCAGGCAACAGCTGCTTGTCTTTGCAGGGGATCCCTACACAGATTCTGTTCATGATGACAGGATCATTTCCTCCAGTTAATAATCTGTTGGTGGTAATATTCATTGCACGCTAGATTTTCTACTTTCAAACCTGCGTTTCAGCCCTTAGCAACACCACCTGAAACAGTTTATATTTAGCAGGACATGCCATTACTCTGGAAAAAGGAAACAATCGGTACTTGGCTTCAGTGTCCTCATGGGACTGTGCAGCTTTGCGTGAGGTTAGAAGCATGATACCCTCAAGTCAGCTGCTCTGTAGCTGCCAGTGCACAGGAATGCAACCAGTCTATAGTACACTGGAGGAATAGATCATTGAATTCTCCTTGCAAAGCCTTTCCGTAAAACAAGCATTTACAGTGAGTAAAATAAGTATTTGAACACCCGGCTATTTTGCAAGTACTCCCACTTAGAAATCATGGAGGGGTCTGAAATTGTCATCATAGGTGCATGTCCACTGTGAGAAACATAATCTAAATTTGAAAAAATCCAGAAATCACAGTATATGATTTTTTAAAAATATTTATTTGTATGATATAGCTGCAAATAAGTATTTTAACACCTGAGAAAATCCATGTTAATATTTGGTACAGTAGCTTTAGTTTGCAATTACAGAGGTCAAACATTTTTTGCACACACTGCAGGAGGGATTTTGGCCCACTCCTCCACACAGATCTTCTCTAGATCAGTCAGATTTCCGGGCTGTCCCTGAGACACACAGACTTCGAGCTCCCTCAAAGATTCTCTAATGGGTTTAAGTCTGGAAACTGGCTTGGCCAGGCCAGAACCTTGATATGCTCCTTACCAGTGTTGTAGAGTAACGAAGTAAAAATACTTCACTGCTGTACATTCTCTAATTATTGCTCCAAGAGTGGACCTTTTTTCACCAAGCTGCTTGGCAATTTTCCTGTAGCCGTTTCCAGCCTTGTGGAAGTGTACAGTTTAGTCTCTAGAGTCTTTGGACAGCTCTTCTTCTTCTTCTCTTTTTTTTTATGGCGGTTGGCAAACAACTTTTCGGTGCATTACCGCCACCTTCCAGATTGGAGTATGGATCCAACAATCTTTTAAATCCTCCCTAATACACCCCTTTGGACAGCTCTTTGGTCTTGGCCATGTTAGTAGTTGGATTCTTACTGATTGTACGGGTCGACAGGTGTCTTTATGCAGCTAACGACCTCAAACAGGTGCATCTAATTTAGGATAATAAATTAAGGTGGAGGTGGACATTTTTAAGGCAGACTAACAGGTCTTTGAGGGTCAGAATTCTAGCTGATAGGTGTTCAAATACTTATTTGCAGCTCTACAAATAGCCTAGTTATACAAGTAAATAGTTAAAAATCATACATTGTGATTTCTTTTTTAGATTATGTCTCTCACAGTGAACATGCACCTATGATGACAATTTCAGACCCCACCATGATTTTTAAGTGGGGGCACTTGCAAAATAGCAGGGTGCTCAAATACTTATTTTCCTCACTGTATGTTGTTTGTCTACTCACCCAATATGTGTGGCATGTTGTTTTTTTCTGAAAAGATAAGTGTTTAACTGGTCCTCAGTCTCTGCCACTAGAAAGCTCCAGTTTGGGTTTTCTTCAGGTACTATAGCCACTTCAGACAATCCAAAACTGGTTCCTCTCAGTTAACTTTGGGGAGAGTCTGGGTATGGTGCATGGTGCATTTGTTTGTGAGTGGTTTGTCTCTGTTTTGGCCTTGTGCTGGTCTGGTGTATAAGCAGCATCTCTCTTGACAGTAGGTGGGGTAAGCTTGGATAACTGTTGCTCTTAATGGGATCACGGCGGTATGGAGACTAGACATTTGGTATGATTCTCTTGAGAGTAAAAGGGTTTGAATAGATGGTGATGATAAGAAGTATTTAAAGTATGCCATGTATTTTTGGAACTGAGAAGGAACAGCAAAGGTACAAAGTAAGAGTAAATGCCAGATAGTCGACTCTACTTGTGTTGGCCAGTTTGGACTTTTTTTTATTTCAGTGGACCTTTTATTGATCATAGTTTTTAATGATAAATAAGCTTTTTTATTGTTTTTATTATCCATGCAGAATGCTTCTTTGTAACAGTCCACCTTTGTTCACATAACTGTGTATGCCTTAATGATTGGTTTTACATTGACAGAATAAGCAAACAACTTAGTTTACCTTGCAGTTTCACAAGAAAAGGAAACCTAAGTCTCTATGCAGGTTAAATATGTGCATTGGTTAATGATTGTCAAATTTAGGCGGGTTGTACACGGCAATGAAGTGTTTATCTAATCTTTTCCTGCTTGCCTTGACACTTTTCCTTCTGACGGGAGCCTGAAGTTTCGTTTTCTAGAGGGATAAATTTGCCGTGAGTCATCTGTGCTCTTACTTGACTGAGAAGGAGGTGAAAACATGGCACCAACACTGGTGAGTCTACCACTGCTGAACTATAAGTGTTTGTGTTTAATTTTGTGTTGGCAAGCACTTTGAATCCATGCATGTATGTTTCTCTTTGGCCACATTTGAATCTCTTCATTAATGTGCAGATGAATCTATGACATCTGGCTTCTGACCACTGTTTACAGTGACAGCTGTCTTGTTATTCACATTTTGTTTCTTGGTTTTAAGTTCGATCATGACGCAAAGCCAGGAGATCTAATCGAGATCTACCGTGGGACTTACAAACATTGGGCCATCTTCATTGGAGGAAACGAGGTTGTTCATTTGATTCCTGAAAGTAAGTTTAGTGTCGCATTTGTTAGACTTGCACAAAAGAACAGGACTGGTAACTTATTGGTATAAATTGTATTAATCTATTCTCTTTTCACCAATTCACAAAGCATCCACAGGTGATTTGGGAGATTTCGGTGAGCTGCTGAGTTTCCTAGACAGCAGCACAGCGCGCGTGAGGCGTCAGAGGATATGGGAAGTTATTAAGTCCAGCGAGTTCCACATCAACAATTACCTGGATGATGAGTACCGGCCTCGTGAGTCTCGTACAATTGTCAGGGAAGCATGCAGGTTGGTTGGTCTGGAGCGTCCTTACAACATCGCAACGTACAACTGTGAACATTTCGTCACAGAACTGCGATACGGCAAGCCGGAGTCACGACAAGTAAGTGTGAGAGTTTTCGCTACAAATAAATGAAAAAAAAAATGAAAAAGTTTTATTTACATAGCCACATGCCATTGTACGACAGAATGAATGAATATAGTTAGATCTAAAACAACTTAGGTTGTTTTTTAACGAGAAATCCGCTTTTCAGACTACTGCAGGCCTTGCTTTAGTCTGCAGCTCTAAACTGGAGAGGTTTATCACATGTTCACCTGATTTCTTTTTTTTTTTTTCACCTTTAACACTGTCCAGAATGAGTGATAAGAAACACGTTTGGAAATGTATGTGTTGTAATGCAAGTTTTTAATAACACACAGCAAATAAGAGGCTGGTTTTATAAGTTAAATAAAGTCGAATCCTTTTAGTCAAGCTATAATTAATGAAGAGGACTGTGCTTTTTTGTAAAATACATGTATGTCATCAGGCCAGATACCCTTGAAATTACCCTTGTTTAAAACATACAAGGAGAAAGCGTATTTATAGTTGTTTAGACAACTTGTTATTCGTAGACTAAGTTTTCCGAGAATCAGCAAATAGCTTTCTTTAGAATGTCTACACAGACGTTTTAGACTCTGCCACAACACTTGAACCTACGAAGCATGGATTGCGAAGCCAGGAAAATCAAAAAGCAGGCAACCTTGCTGACTGTGACAAGAAACCAGAACACAGAAACGAGAAAAACCATCCAACCACTAAAAGAATGATGAATTATGGGTACAAACATTTAGAAATCACAAGAGCATTTCAAACTGGGGAGAATAATGGAACATAAACCAAACATCTATAACATAGACATTCTCTTCGTCTTTCTCAGTTGCTTGATGTTTTAATGTAGTAACATGTTGGGGTTAGAATAGAGTGCAGTAAGTTACTTTTAACAAAATGCATTATTCAAGACATCGGCTCCAGCAACCCAAGACCATTTTTGGGATAAACAATATAGAAAATGCACGGATGGATGAGTCGAGACTTTTGAAAGTCGACATTGTCACAGCCCAGATCCGTTTTATGATCCTGTGTCGCAATTCCCGTTCTGTTGGATGAATGTGAATGGAGGGCGTACATGTTGTCGTTTCACAATCAGGGCACAGCCACAACTTCAAAATGTGGACAATGATATGCAGTGAAGTATATCATCAGTATTTGCATGACATACGGCTTGCTGTATTTTTACTTCTTCTCTTTTTTTTTTTCTTTGCAGGTTCAAACAGCAGCTGTGATAGGTGGTGTTGCCACAGCGGGTGTGGCAATCGCAGTTTTGGGAGCTGCTTTGTTTTCGACCTTTCACAAGCATGATAAAAGAAGACGAAATGATGAGTGACACCACAGGGGCGACCAAACGGGTCACACCAAAGTGATTTTCATTTAAACTTACAACTTTGAAAAAATTGAATGTCTGCTTGATAAGAGCTATATTAAGCTTTTTACAAATGAGAATACTTTTTTTTTTGTAAGAGCTGCTTATTCAGAAGATAGTAAATGTACCTCTAAAATGTTTTATTATAATATTGTCAAGACAAATAAATATACAATATTTTTCTTTTGATGCAAAGTCTCCCTCCAGTTTTTACACACTAAACGCATTCCATTTTCTTTGCTGTGTCATTTTTAGATCTGTCAGCATGAGTTAAGATACAGCAAAAAGTGTAAGCTGGAGATATTTTCTTTGTGGATTACCTTTTTTTTGTCTGCCAGAAGCTTGACGGAAGCAGACAAACAGAGCCAGCATCAAGAAATAATATAACACTGAGTATCTTTTTTCTTAAGGCCTTAAGCTTAAAGGGTGTTTATCTAAACCTGCCTCTGAAAAGGCATTGTTCTGCATCACAGTCTACCTCTGTTCATTGATTATACCCTGTTAAAGCCAGACAGGGGGGTGTTTACACAAAACAATGTGATCCATAATGTGTGTGCATGAGTATGCGTTTGTCTCTGTATCACTGAAAGGTTAAATATTACAAATGAGGATCTTTAAGAAAGGTATGTTTGTAGTTGAGTCATTTTTAGTTTACTTGGAAAGTCATTTTTATTTCTAATGTTGGACTTTCATAGAGCTAAAGCAAAGCATTCGCTGTGATGTTTTGTGGTGATTACCATAATTTGATCAAACTGCAAACATAATTTCTATTTGTTGGAACTTGGGTTAACAGATGCCCCATGAAATGAACAAATTAACTATTGACCAACATTATTGTACGATGAAAACATAATCATATTCAAATGTCCCAGAAAATATATTTACAAGTAAGTAAGGACATGCCATGTGTAAATCACTCAAGGCAAAACGATCCACAGAGCATTTGGTGGACCTGAACCCAAATTAATATATAAAGTTTAAATTAGGTAAGCTGCATACCTGCTTGAACTCATTTTGATTTGTCATTTTTCTGGGACGTCTGCTTGTTTGTGCATACGTGAAATTCATCCAAGGACATCAGCAGTGTGTCAATGTTAGCTTTGTCAACAAAAAGGCTAAAGAACACACTTTGGAGTACATCATCAACATCAACATTGGTAAGTAGTTTCGAGCTGTCAGCAATTAGATTTGTTGCCGTCCAGTGTCAACGCATTTCACAACTTATACTCGAAAATTGTATATGCAATACAAAAAATTGCTTGAGAATGTTATTGTTTTTCCCTAGAAATAAAAACAAAAATCCAATCTGACGAATTGGATGTTTTTTTTTGTAGTGTGAAAGGCCCTGGGGCCAGAGCCAACAAAGTAAAGCTACTAGCAGGTGGGGGCAGCTGGACTTGTCTGGTTCCCGAGAATCAGCACAGCACACCACATTGTTCCTGAGGTCACCTTCTTAGAGCTCCATGAAATCCAGGGTGGGCTGTGAAGGCTTGGGCTGTGGGACTGGAGCCAGAAATAATAAAACCTCATGCTCCACACACTTTGAGAGAATAACTTATCAAGCTAAGAATCGGGGATAACCATCCAGCTTAACAAATGGGAAGCTGCACCTCTGACCGAGAGACAATTAGACAATTGACATGATTATAGCGAATGTACTGTTACAGAGAAGCATCAAACGCTAATGCGGATTGCATTTGTCTTCATCATAAGGATGAAGATAAATTAATATAAATGCAAAACTCAGCTTCTTGCACTCTTTGAATTTGCATTGCTGTTTCCATTAAACCTCCCTGTGGGACTATACCACAACTATAAAGAGCAGTAGCTTTAGCACAAAATCCCACTCAAAAGTAATAAACCCTAAACTAAATTCTTTGCACCCATTGTGGGAGGCATAGAGATAGATCTTTGTCACATTGGGGGTAAAACAAAGCTTTGTCAGAGCGAGAGACGGTGAGATTTATTTTCAGAAGAACATCCAGTGATAGAATAAGTATTCAAAAGCATTAACTTTCACCTGGTCGCCTGTGTGTGTTTGTGTGTGTGTGTGTGTGTGTGACCCAGAAGTTGTTACAGGAACAGTGCCTCTTTGAAAAATTGATTGTACCTGTTGTGCACTATGTTTTCACTTTGACTATTGTGCCTAATCCTCTTGGACCAGCTGATTTAGAAAAATAAATAAATCTGTGTAATACATCCATCATGGTGATTTGTGCCCTGATTTCTGATTTCTGAACCCAAACAAATGACGATAGAACTTTAACCTTACTGAAATGTATGGATTCTTAACGTGACTCATCATCCAACGTAATGGCATCCATGTTGGTAACATTTTGTTTCGTCGGGTGCTATATACTGGATTTAAACTGAGCTAGTAGTGGTACCTTACAAAGTGTTGCTTTTAATATTTAAACTACCCCTTGCTGGTTACTCTCTCAGATTAGCTGTCCATTTCAGTTTATATTTCTCTGCGTCTGCCTTAAAACGAGTGGGATGGAGTAAGTAATCATGATCTGTGATCATTCTTCAGCCCACAAGGCAAAGAAGCATTTTACTTTAACTCTTGAAACAGCTTCACAACACCAGTTATTCCACTGGCCGTACAAGGATGGTGACTAAATTTCAACACAGCTAAAGCTGTTGTTGTGTGGAATGTAAATGATCATGTCGCTGGTTGTGTGGCGGTGGTGACACAACCAACAACAACTTCCCATAGGGACTTTGAGAACCAATAGAAGATGTTGGTTATGAAAAAACATCATGAATTTTTTTTACTCTCAAAGCACAACTATGATGAATTCAAACTGCCAAGTCACATGAGCATCTTTCGGCTTTTGTTTAATGGAAGCTGGGATAGTCCTAACCCCCCTTCCTCGTCTTAATGAATAGGATAAAGCACATATAGAAAATGAATGAATGAATGTTGTTTGTACAGTGTTACCGTATTTTACAGAGCTGTTCACATGTCTTGTCTTGTTAATAGTAAGATTAATACAGTCACAGATGCTTCGCTGTGGAGTTTAATGGCCCATTGTGAAGTAACACTTAGGAAACGGGCCTTGTTGTGAGCTTCTATTGTGCGCTGGACTCGGGGACAGCATGATTAAGTGCGGCAAGAAAACCGGAGCAGTCTGTGATAAAAGCGGCGTGACAGGCAGCCATGGAGGCCAAAAACAAACTACCTTTTGGTGCCCGTGTCAGCTAAGGATGTATGGTTTCCCCCTTCAGCAGTCCGTCTCTACTAACTTCTCACGTTCGAGTTTCCCCAAAAGGCAGGCGGGGGGGGAGAGGTGGTGCCGGGCCCAGCCAGAACTGCTGTTGAACCCCCCAAACTTCTTCCATTCTATACAAAGATGTCATTGAGCCTTGTCTTTGCACCTGCTCATGTCCGGGAGGAGATGGCACAAGCTCTTCCTGTGTATCTGAGGGGGCAACAAAAGTCCACCACCTCAAAGCTGCAAAGCGAGTCAGACAAACACTGTTAAAGATTCTTTTTTTTTTTTTTTTACTGAAAAGGCAAACTGCTGCCATGCCAGATAAGTCAACAAATGAAGGCCAGAGAAACTTTCTGCATAGTGTGAAGGTTTTTTTTTTTGTGAGAAAGGTTGTGTAGCGTGATCGGGGAGGGGAGGGGAAGGGGGGGTTGGGGTGGTTTGGTGGGAGGTAGGATGGGGAGTTGGAAGACCAGAGCCAGGAGGATGTGGTTTGGAGACGGAGGGTAAGGACCACCCCAAATGTGAGTGTTACTGATACTTACTCAGGTGGCAAGGATTTTAGCACCTCCATCCTCCTCCTCCTCTTTGCTTACGATGAAGAAAAACAGCTTCAGCAAAACAAAAATTTGGTTTCTCTGGCTGCAAAGTGGGAGAGATTAGACTAACAATGGCCTGGGTTAATGATGTTTGGGCTCTTAAAGATACAAAACCATTAATTTAAGAAAAAATGCCATTAAGTGTCCCATGAAAAAGAAAGGAGAACATTTCTTTCGGAAAGAATTACTTGCGGTATATTTGAAAAAGAAAACACAACAGAAATTCGCTCACACAGCACCAGTGGCACAATGGGCGAGTAATCATTATTTCTCACACTATAACCACTACGGATTATGCAGTGGTGGCTTGTTTTAATGCATTAGCTGCAGTTTCTTTCAGGCTTATCACCTGACTTTTTCACCCATCATGTTAAAGCAGCAGGCAAAATCAAGTTGGGGCTGGCAGGGGGGGGGGGG